GTAATACTAAATTTGGTATATGTGACGCTAACGAAATGGCTGAAAGCGCATCATGAGCGTGGCATGTAGTCATGTGGTTACGTGACAAGCATGTCATGGTTTTCATGTTAGAGTCATTCACTTGAGTTCACCATGCAATCATGGCCTACCATACCAGTTTTGCAACATGTCGTGTGAATGAAACTACAGCAAAAGCAAAAACAGGACATGTAAATCATGACATTCATGACATATGTCATGATTTACATGTTATGACTAGATAAATATGCTCGTAATATAGTCATGTTGTGCCATATCAAGTTTGGTATCGATACCATTATCCAAACAGCCAGGAGAGCTAAAAGTCGTTGGTGGTTAGATATATAGATAGATACGCTCAATGTCGCCGAAGTTCGCTAAGAAATGCTTCGCATTAAAAAAAAAAAAAACTATTTACGGTATGTACAGAACACAAAGGCTTCATTCATAACATTCCAGTGATAGGGCACATACACTTCGGCACATCTATGTATCACGACAAGCACCACTAAGTTACAGTGAAGACATCATTGCTCTAATATACATGACGATGTTGGCATACATGTACACAAGACCTCAATGCGATATCATGATGCAATGATATAACGATACAAATAAATCCCCGTGTTTAGACAAACATGTTTAACAATTTCGAGTACTTCGTACTCAACTTTGGGAGAGCACTGAGCCGTCCTCATTACGCAAAGATCCCCGTAGTGGGGGGGGGGGGGGAGAATTGGAAAAGTGGGTAACGACTTAGAGTACCAGGTACTCTACTATGGGAGAGCTTAAAGCCGTCCCCAAAAATTCGCCATAGGGCATCCGCGAAGGAAAATGTGTAGAAGAGCTTCTCGGATTGTGCCGAGTCGCGAAAACGTATCCGGCTCCATTTCACCCTGTGAAAGGGGATGGGTGGCGAAGCTGTCCAAAATTAGGGGGATGTTGAAAATTCGACTTCGAGATGAGCTCTCGATGGTGTAATGGGGCCCGGTTCTCATAGCCTTCTCATCTGTTAGCCACGCTTAGGTTTTCAGCGCATGCGTCAATCGTGCCGAGAGAAAAATTGGCAGATCCCACGTACAGTGGGAATCGATGATGTGCGAAGAACGAATTCGGCTGGTCGACGTGTCACTTGAAAATCAGCACAATGCAACGAGGTGGAGATAAATGATGCCGTACATGACTTACGTTTTATTGTTATCATGTTTAGATGCGTCGTTTACCTTCGTCATCTATTCACGTCACGTGATACCGAATTTAGTATATGTGGAACTAGCGAAACGGCCGCGAGCATGCTATGAGCGTGGCAGGTTGTCATTTTTCCAAATGACACGCTTGTCAGCATCGTAATGTTTGCACCCGTCATATACTTTTATCATCCATTGACGTCACGTAATACCAAATTTGGTATATGTGGAGTAAGCAAAACGGCCGCGAGCGCATCATGAAGGGTCGAATAAGACTCCAAAGTAGCGTTGACACGTGCGCACGTTGGGCACTGTGATGCTTCGTTAGCGAAACGCGAGCACTCTATAGTCTGACGCCAGGCGCAACCGGTGCTACCAGCGTCCGTCGGCGCGGCCCGACGGCAAGCGGCACGAAATGCGACATGCTGCATTTCGCGCCGATGTGTTACCCAGATAGCACTGCGTCTCCTTCTTTACGTGCCGGAGGGACGTCGGACGCGCTGAAACGAGCATGCGTCAAAGCAACGCAGCGCGGCGCGCGCCTGCGTGTATATAGAAAGACCGGCGCCTGGCATGGCAACGCTGGCATGACGCGACGATATGAACGCCGGTGAGCACGTGCACCAGGTCACGTCAAAATGTATTGGCGCTTTGACTGTGGTACGTTGTCATGTTCTCACATGACACGCATCTCATGATTATCATGTTTGCACCAGTCACATACCTTCGTCTATTGACGTCACGTAATACAAAATTTGGCATATGTGAAGCTAGCGAAACGGCCGCGGGCGCATCATGAGTGTGGCATGCAGTCATGTTGTTAATGACACGCATGTCACGATAATTATGTTTGGATGTGTCATTTACCCATGTCGTCTGTTCGCGTCGCGTAATACCATGTTTTGTACATGTCAAGCTAGCGAAATGACCACGAGCGCGTCATGAGCGTTACATGTAGTCATGTTCTTACATGACACGCATGTCGTGTTTATCATGTTTGCACCAGTATCATAGCTTAGTCATTCATTCACGTGAGGTAATACCGAATTTGGTATTTGTGACGCTAACAAAACGGCCGCCAGCACATCATGAGCGTAGCATGTAGTCATGTTGTGACATGACACGCAAGTCATGATTTTCATGTTAGGGTCAGTCGCTTCTATTCGGCATGTGAACATGTCATACCATAGCAGTTTTAAAACATGTCATGTGAACGAAACCACCGCAAGAGCTGCATGACCATGAATTGTAATTGATGACATTCATGACATACATATCATGACTTTCATGTTATGACTAGTCAAATTTGTTCTTCATACAGTCATGTTATGCCATACCGAGTTTGGTATCGATACTATTATCGAAACGACCGGAGAGCTAAAAGTCGTAGGCGACTACATGGTGTCGCGATCCCACCGCTGCCACCAGTTGTCGTGATCCCACCGCTGATCACCAGTTGTTGTGATCCCGGGGTGCTGTGGTAGCGTGGTGTAGCTTCGGATTGAGGAAACGAGCGCTTACAAAATGGGGATACGAAAAACAAACAAGGTTTATGGCACTATTTACAAATATTTACAGCATGAGGTTAAGAGTTCACAAACCACGAGCGTGGTGGTTAAACCTTTTCTTGGTTCAGAGCGACGTCCTGCACTCTGCGGCGCCGTTATAAGCCCTGTCGGGCTCCTCCTTCTTCAGTGGAACACCAATCACACACACACACAACAGGTGAGGGGTACGAGCATGCACGGCGCACGTGAACATCCAATTTCGAGTCAAGATCACTGCACTTAAAGGTGGCGCCAGAGAGGCTCTTGCTCGTCGTGTATGTCGCTGGTCGAGGGGTTCCAAGCTTCGGACAGCAGACATCAAACGGTCCGCCAATCTGTCCGCTCAATTAGCAGGGCACTTTGTGGCGGCGGTCGCCGTTTCTTCAAAGGAATACGCTGTCTTTGTTGTCCCCTCTGGAACGGCTTACCGCTTCGTGGTGACGTGACGTCTCATCCGCCGGCTAGCAGGGACAATACCTGGCGGGCATAGGCATTCGGCGAGACGGCTACTTGTTTGAGGATTAAAAGGGCGCCGCTCCCCCGTCAGCTCTCGACGCTGGTTCCAAGAAAATCTGGGTTCCAGGCGTGGGAACGCGGCCCGGCTACGCTTCTCAGCGACAGCATGGCGCCTACCGATGGCGGTCGTAACAATGGATAGACAGATAGATAGATAAATACGCTCAATGTCACCGAAGTTCCCTAAGAAATGTTCCGAATTTAAAACGAAGTATGTACGCGTAACATTTCCCGTTTGAAACTATCCTAGAATGCCAATGCACAACCACGCCACGGTGGCCTGCAGGATATGGTACTGATGACATGCAGGTCACGGGTTTGAATCCCGGCCGTGGCAGCCGCATTGGCAATGCAGGCGAAAATGCTTGAGGCCTGTGTACCTAAATTCATTAGGTGCACGTTAAAGAACACAGGGTTGTCGAAATTTCTGTAGCTCTCCGCTATGGCGTCTCTCAAAACGTTATCGGGGCTTCGAAACGTTACACCTTTGGAATTGTGATCAATTCCAATGCAATTTATCAGTGTTAAATACACGCTACGCCACCATTTTAAATGTTTAAATCAGCGAAGGGCCTGCTACGCGTCATTAAGGGCTGACGTGTTTTGACGGCTGGTGTGATGGATTGTATGCGGCTGCTACGCAATTTCAATGCGTAAAGGAGGAAACCCTTCCCATCACGACATCGTAATCCTTCCTTATATATATATATATATATATATATATATACTAACTTTAGTACACCCCAATTTGAGGGGTTGATCATGAAAGCACCCAGACGTAGGCGACTAGATAGACAGATAAATAGATGCCAAAACACTTTTGGCATCTATTTATTTGTCTATCTAGTCGCCTACGTCTGGGTGCTTTCATGATCAACCCCTGAAATTGAGGTGAACCAAAGTTAGTATGGGTGGGTAGGATGGTTCGACGAATATGACACGCTGCTCGTGACATGAAGAATGTGACAATCCCGTCACGTAGGTCGTCAAACCCTTTCCGCCAGACACGTGTGGCACATACCCGTGTATAACGGGTGTGTATGAGCCACAGGAATACGGCCATGCGCCACAGGTGACTGACAGTTTGTCTACGCCGGAATGGCGTGAACAGACATGAATAATTTTAACGCGTTAGCTTTAAAAAACTTATATCGGCAGCGTTCACCCGATGATTGGAAATAATAAATATCCGGGCCCCAGCAGGCCGGAATCTAACCCAACAAATACGCGTGAAAATCAAGTATTCTACCACAGAGTCACGTCAGGTCTCGATACTGCTTCGCAAAAATGCACTATTAAGTCGTAATGGTGGTGAACTTGTATTGCGATGCTCACTAACGATTTGTATAAACATTACATAAGTATTCCTATGATACAGCCGTCTCGTCGGGGTAACGTCAACTGCCGTTAAGCATCCACAGAAATTAATTATTGTGTCCAGAGCTACCATACTCGCGAGCACAAGCGTTTTGTATCAGCTCACCACTTCTACTGTTGCTCATACCCGTGCTGCTGTTGGCATGGTTACTGAGCAGTTAACAACTGGTTAGATAAAAAGTATGCGGCTGTTTAACGTATGTCTCTAGGTAGAATGTTTGTAGATATATTTAGCGTCATTTCATGACGTGTCCCGCATTAACAAAATATTACAGCACAGTCTTCTTCCCTAGACATGCTTCGCATAACGTCTTCCCACGGGTACCTAGGATCTGCCCAATCTTTTTATATGCAGAGCCTGCCTGGGGGCGGCGGTGACCGTGGCCGTTATATTTCTGGGCCTCGTCGCAGCATTGGTGGGAATCGTGATCAGTGCCCCACCACAAGACGTCGCAGTCGTCTGCCGACCGCTCGACAAGCCGCTGCCAGAGGGCACCGTCATGGTTCGTTAAAAGTCACATGGTATCTTCCACTCACTGAAGACTACTCTGGGACAAGATCCGTCATTTTGGTTTTTACAGCGAAAGCTGTTATGAGATCAAGAGATCGAAATTCGGGTCACGCTTGGCGCCGTAGCTGTCCACCACCGCCACCGCCGCCGGTGTCCGCAACCACATCACACGAAATGAGAAAAAAAAAAACCTAGTACTAATAACACAGTGGGACCCGAACCGAGGTCCGATAGGTGCCAGCCCAGTATTCCATCACGGAGCTACGCCAGTACATGGCACTTGTTAGAAAACTTGTCTTAAGCAGGCTTGATGTCGGTAAAGCAATCGCGTTAATACGACTTATAAGGCGTTTTAAAACAAAGAAAAAACAACCAGTTGTCATACAATGCTAATAGCATAACGAGTGGGGCGTCCAATGCTCCAACATATTATGAAAGTTTGTTCTTGTTTACCTGTAAACTGTGGCACATACCCACTTCAGGCATGATTCCTCATCGTCATCAGCCGCTGCATGAACAATCAACACAAAATTCCTTGCAAGTGTTCAGCGGATACCACGCTTGTCAGAAGAATGACGAAAAATAGCATAGCGAATGCCGGCCTATTAGCTACTTTTTTATTATTATAGTGCCGTAGTGGTTATCAAGCAAGTGTGCTTGCAGCACTTACCTAATGAGTCTTTAGGAAAGGCTCTGAAAGGCCGCTCTTCTAGCTTTCGCTGTGACTGCGCTGCGCCTTCCGCGCAGGCCTGGTGTTTTCTTCTCAGTGAATTGTATTGACGCAACCCCCTCTCCCACGAAAGTTCCTTGCCTCCAACGAGGCTTTGAGCAGCTTTCTGTAGTGAAGACACTACCAGCTTTCTGGATCACACGCACTTTCAGTGGGTCTCTGGAATCAGCCTTCCGGTAACCGAGTGATGATGTAAAGTTACGACGTCATCGCATTGTGAGTTTAGGTACGGAGCACTTTAAAGAACCATGCTGTTGCATGCTGTCGCGCGCTGTAGTGTGCTGCAGCGTTTCGTAGCATGCTGTAGTGGGCTGTAACCGGGCTTGGAGCAATGCTTTATGCGTAGCATAATGAGCGCATGCTCGCGCCAAGGAGAAGCCTTCTTTCTCTTGGTCTTCGAACGCATTGAAGACGATCCTTTATCTTCATCAGCAAAAGGACTGGAACCAACGAGGAAGAAGGACTGCCGAGCTTGGAACTTTCTTTCAGCTTGGCACCCGTCTGTCCGTCCATGCATCCGTCCGCGCGTCCACCTAGTGAACACTCCAAATACCTCCATCTCACATACCCTTTAGCACATAGCCACTTCACGCGTCCGTCTACTGGTCCGTCCTTCTGCTATAAAACACCACCTTTATTACTTGAAACAGTCATGCTCACGCCACCAACGTTCTCTTCTTGCGTTTGATGAGGTATTTAAGATTTTGACCTAAACCATACGCCTTCTCTTACGGCAAATTTCGGCGTGTTTCTATCGTGTTCCAAGCCTGCGACAGGACCACCGTGCTAGTGCAGAGGTTACGGCGCCCGGCGGTTGTCCCGAAGGTCTCAGGTTCCGCCCTGGCCGTGGTGGTCGAATCTCAATGAAGGCGAAGTGCCAGAGGCTCGTGTATACTGAGCGACGTCAGTGCACGTTAAAGAACACCAGGTGGTCCAAATCTCCGTAGCCTTTCACTACACCGTTAACCAGGTCCCAACTGAAGTACCACATACGGCCAGGAAACCAGGATTTTATTCCTCTGATGTCCTAGATATCATCATCATCATCATCATCATCATCATCATCATCATCATCATCAGCCTGGCCAAGTTCACTGCAGGACAAAGGCCTCTCCCATGCTCCGCCAGTTAACCCGGTCCTGTGCTTGCTGCTGCCAATTTATACCCGCAAACTTCTTAATTTCATCTGCCCACCTAACCTTCTGTCTCCCCCTAACCCGCTTTCCTTCTCTAGGAATCCAGTTAGTTACTCCTAATGACCAGCGGTTATCCTGTCTACGTGCTACATGCCCGGCCCAAGTCCATTTCCTCTTCTTTATTTCAACTATGATATCCTTAACCCCCGTTTGTCCCCTAATCCACTCCGCTCGCTTCTTGTCTCTCAAGGTTACACCTACCATTTTTCTTTCCATTGCTCGCTGCGTCGTCCTCAATTTAAGCTGAACCCTCTTTGTGAGTCTCCAGGTTTCTGCTCCGTAGCTAAGTACCGGCAAGATACAGCTGTTATATACCTTCCTCTTGAGGGATAGTGGTAATCTTCCTGTCATAATTTGAGAGTGCTTGCCGAACGTGCTCCACCCCATTCTTATTCTTCTAGTTACTTCAATCTCGTGGTTCGGCTCTGCGGTTATTACCTGCCCTAAGTAGACATAGTCTTTTACAACTTGAAGTACACTATTACCTATCTCGAAGCGCTGCTCTCTACCGAGGTTGTTGTACATTGCCTTCGTTTTCTACAGATTAATTTTAAGACCCACCTTTCTGCTCTCCTTGTGTAACTCCGTAATCATGAGTTGCAATTCGTCCCCTGAGTTACTCAGCAATGCAATGTCATCGGCAAAGCGCAGGTTACTAAGGTATTCTCTATTAACTCTTATCCCTAACTGTTCCCATTGTAGGCTTCTGAAAACCTCCTGTAAGCATGCGATAAATAGCATTGGGGAGATTGTGTTCCCCTGCCTTACACCCTTCTTGATTGGTATTCTATTGCTTTCTTTATGAAGCACTATGGTAGCAATTGATCCCCTGTAGATTTCTTCCAGAATATTTATTTATACTTCATCTACGCCCTGATTCCGCAGGGTCTGCATGACGGCTGATATTTCTACTGAATCAAACGCCTTCTCGTAATCTATGAAGGCTATGTATAGTAGTTGGTTATACTCTGAGCATTTCTCTATTACCTGATTGATAGTATGAATGTGGTCAATTGTTGAGTAGCCTGTTCGAAATCCTGCTTGTTTCTTTGGTTGATTGAATTCTAATGTTTTCTTTACTCTGTTAGCAATTACCTTTGTAAATAGCTTGTACACTACAGAGAGCAAGCTGATCGGCCTGTAATTCTTCAAGTCCTTGTCATCTCCTTTCTTATGTATTAAGATGATGTTAGCGTTCTTCCAAGACTCTGGTACCCTTCCCGTCAGGAGACACCTCGTAAACAGGGTGGCTAGTTTTTCTAACACAATCTGTCCTCCACCTTTCAGCAGATCTGATGTTACCTGATCCTCACCAGCAGCTTTGCTTCTTTGCATGCTCTCCAAAGCTTTTCTGACTTCTTCTATTATTACTGGTGGGGTTTCATCTGGGTTACTGCTAGTTCTTATCGTATTAAGGTCGTGGTTGTCTCGGCTACTGTACAGATTTCTGTAAAACTCCTCCGCTATTTTGACTATCCTATCCATATTGGTAGTTATTTTGCCTTCTTTGTCCCTTAGTGCATACATCCGACTTTTGCCTATCCCAAGTTTCTTCTTCACTGCTTTGAAGCTTCCTCCGTTTTTCAGAGCGTGTTCAATTCTCTCCATGTTATACCTTCTTACATCGCATACTTTACGTCTATTAATCAACTTCGAAAGCTCTGGCAGTTCTATTTCGTCTGTTGTACTTGACACTTTCATGATTTGACGCTTCTTAATTAGGTTCTTCGTTTCCTGGGAAAGCTTGCCAGTGTCCTGTCTAACTACCCTGCCTCCAACTTCCACTGCACACTCCGTAATGATACTCGTCAGATTATCATTCATTGTATCTACGCTAAGGTTGGTTTCCTCACTAAGGGCCGAGTACCTGTTCTGCAGCGACACTCTGAATTCCTGTACTTACCCTCGCAGTGCTAGCTCATTGATTGGCTTCTTGCGTATCAGTTTCTGTCGTTCCTTCTTCAAGTCTAGGCGAATTCGAGACCGTACCCTTCTATGGTCACTGCATCGTACCTTGCCAACCACTTCCACATCCTGCACGATTCCTGGGTGTGCAGCCATTATAAAGTCTATTTCGTTCTTATTTTCGCCATTAGAGCTCCTCCATGTACACTTGCGGTTTTCTCGTTTTCGGTAGAAGGTATTCAAAATCCGTAAATTATTGCGTTCTGCGAATTCTACTAGTAGCTCTCCTTTGGCGCTTCTAGTGCCGATGCCATAATCTCCTACTGCCTGGTCTCCAGCCTGCTTTTTCCCTACCTTTGCATTAAAGTCGCCCATCACTATAGTATACTGTGTTTTTACCTTACTCACTGCCGATTCCACGTCTTCATAGAAGCTTTCAACTGGATGTAGCTTTCAACTTTCAACTGTTTCATGGCTGGATGTAGGCGCGTAAGCCTGTACTACCTTCATCTTGTATCTTTTATTCAGTTTAATTACAATAGCCTCCATTTAACTAAGACTTGAATAAGAGTGTAAGGCGTACCTTCTAATTCAATTTTTGTTTTGGGATGTTAAATTCCACATATATTATTATTATTATTATTATTAATATTATTATTATTATTATGATAATGTGGAGGCCACGTTTCATCGAGAGCCCCCCCCCCCCCCAAACAACATTGGTAGCTCTCGCCGAATCATTTCTTGGTAGCTACTCGCCGAATCATTTCTTGCAAAAAGAAAGAAAGAAAAAAAAGGTGGGGGGGGGGGGGGGGGGCTTGCAGAACGCTCGGGCTTCACTTTCAAGAGTTGAACGCGACCGGGCAATCGGTTCGATTGCTAGACTTGATTTGGTTCTAACACCACAACCATGCCGAAATAAACGAACGTCTGTGCGTGTAACATTGGTAGCTTTAAAGCATCCTAGAATGCCTGGTGGATCAGCCACGAATCAGACATTATCTTCGTTTACAAGTCATATATGTTGCTGAAAGAATACGTTCAAAAACGAATAGTTTAGCCACTACTCATTATTGATACAAGCACACAAAATTGGAGTATACAGTTGCCAAGGGCCCACTACACTTTCGTAGCGGAGCACGTGAACCTACGAAGCTACTTAATTTATTGGTGCTTTTGCTGCTGATGATGATCAAATATGTCTGAACGCTTTGTAATAGATGTACCTTCAAAAACGTTGCTCGTTGCGCCAATGGCACAGTATGATGTCTGAGGCAATTTAACGCTTCTGCCATACATTATTACATGGGCTAAGGGGTCTCCTCCTATTAGTCCCGAGAAGAAACAGTGGTGGCGCCGCATTCGGGGTGAAGTGGCATCACGTTAAAGACTCACTTGCTCTCCGGTCGAGTATCGCCTTTATCTGCGCCCGCCATGTGCCCACTCTTACGCGCTGTGGTGTTGACAACCGCTCATTGTTACGATGCAAATCTGCCATGGTAGAAGGCGGCTGTTTACACTGGTAGCGAAAGTTGACTCAGCGGCACACATTTGCGATAGTCTGATGGACAAACTTTCGTATGAACGGGAGATCCCCTGTGAAAATAGTGATGCATTACAGCAAGGGAGTCGTTGTTTTCACTGCTTACGCCAGAAAATCGGTGCTAAAAGGCTTTACGCAGATGGTTCTGACTTCATTACAACTTGGCGTACACTCAGGGTGTAGACCATTTGTCTCGATTAATTACAAATTGGATTACAATGTTTTCAGATTTTTGAAGTACATGGCGGCTTTTATGCAGATTACTCAAGTAATTTGGCAAAAATAATTTCACCTGATTAAGCTTCGATCTTTGTTTAAAGAGACGTTAGATGAATCTGCAATTTTTTTCAGTATGTCCAGTATGTTGAGCGAAACGAGCTGGTCACACACTACACGTTCAGGGAAATGCGAAGATGTTCATCATCACCAGCCTAACTACGCCCACTGCAAGACAAAGGCCTCTCCCATCGTCCGACAGTCAACTCGGTCCTGTCCTTGCTGCTACCACTTTATACCCACACACTTCCTAATCTCATCTGCCCATTTAACTTTTTGTCTCCCCCTCCCACGCTTGCCTTCTCTGGGAATCCAATTATTTACACTTAATGACCAGCGGTTATCTTGCCTCCGCTCTAGGTGCCCTGCCAATGACCATTTCTTCTTCTTCATTTCGACTATGGCATCCCTGGCACTCGAGATGAAATGTTAGTGTACTTGAAATACGTAAATACGTAAATATTTCTTGTAAACAGTGAGTCAGCTGGAATGATGTGGCCATATATTCCGATGTGCATGAACTTCTGGGCGTATCAAGCGCTCCGTCTCAAGGGGTAATGTTCAATTCAAGTGGGAGCACAATTGATTGCCGATATGATCGTTGTAAATCGATATAAGTGTTGTAAACGGCTTCGAAGGCGCTCTCGGTCACGTTTCCCAAGTTATAATTAAATGGTCTTCGCCTCAGGGAGTAATTGTCTCGTCTCGCACGTCATATTCACAGACAACTTGCTGAAGCTCAGGTTTAATCAAATGCAAAAAAAATTAACTTACGAGTGGACTTTCTATATCGGTACTTACCGGTGTAACAGCGCCGTCGCTGTGATGCCGCATGAACATTCCGAAATTCACCTTAACTTCTTTTTAGTGAGATGAAGCTCCAAAATTGTTGCGAGAAAAGCGTGAACCAACATGAGGAGTGAGCGAGTACACGAGAAAAACAAATACAACAGTTGCGAAGGTATTCTGGCCAAGCGCTTTGCAAAGACTTTGCGAGCCTCGATACTGAATGTGAGAGGGCCATAGGGGGCCCACCTGCTCCACCAGTGTATCGTGAGTTTTTGCAACTGTGCGTAGGGCTTGGTACACAAGGAAAAAAATTTAATAAAATGAAAAAGTAACTGTCCGTGGCCAGCTACGCTCATGTGTCCGATAGAAATAAAATTTGTGGAAGTGAAAACATCATATCTTTGAAGCACTCGTGAAGAAAACTATTATACGTAAACACGCTGCGGTATGTGTAAATACCACGACTTTATTACAGCACACGCTGTATTGTAATTTTGTATTCAAAACAAACATGTTCTTGCTCTTCACTCACGTCGGAGTGTTGCTGCCACGTTCCAGAATTAAACCCATCATCGAGTTTAGTAGCGCGACAACACAAGCCTGATCAAAGTTCGTACAGTGGCGTGCGGTAATCGTTGGCGATTGTACTAACAAAAGTTGTTTGCTGTTTTAGTAGGAGCAATATTTATGCTATCGTCGTCAATGCGATTGCAAACAGCAGAACAGCGTACGATGCGAGCGTACGTTATGTAGGCGCGCCATGCAGGCGTCGAAGCGTCCTTGCCTTGACGTCATCCAGACATCCCGCCAGGCGTTGCTACCCCACCTTCTCGGGAATAATAATACATGACATCCGTATAGTCTGTGCGCGTGTTTGCGTGTGTGCGCGCGTGTGTGCGTGCGTGTGTGTGTGTGTGTGTGTGTGTGTGTGTGTGTGTGTGTGTGTGTGTGTGTGTGTGTCGACGCAATTTCAAGCAACGGCGTAGATATGTGGCAAAACTTCAAATTAGCAGCGCTACCACAAGACGAACAGAGAAGGGGCAGGGCCAGGCACTTACTGACAACAAGCTTTCTTTCTCTGCGGTGGAATATATATTCTTGAAAAAAGAGGAAAACGATATGGGGACACCTCACTTGCTAGCATGCGCCGAAATCGCATTCAGTAGTCGAGAAAATTATGTTCATCCTTGAGCAGATCTTTCTTGAATAAGCCCGCATTAACACACCATATTTGTGGTAAAACGTCTCCTTGCCATGCAGAATGGATATGATTCGATCCACACTCGTAGCGGAGATTTTTATTAGTCATTTGCTTATTTATCGATTTTTCGCTGACGGCCAACGCTTATGTTTTGCTCGAAACTAGCGTTGCCGACACCGACGCCGATACCTGCATCGATATATCTGCTAAACGAGTTCTGGAACCCTATCGCGTTGGTACGTAAAACCACTAAAGAAAGTACTTCGATGTGATTTTTGCTTAAAAAAAATGCGTGCAGGCACCGAAGAACTACAGCCTTCACTATCAGGCCGACAATGGAAGCTGGCGAAAGCATGCACGTGACCAGAACTCCGTCAGATCAGGGTCGCACTACGAGGGCATTGACAGCACCTCAGAGCACACAATTTAATTGAAAATTTGCGCCTTCGGCTTCCATTCGTTCGTGAATTTATTTGTGCTGCACTGAAGTATAACTTCTGCATGTCACCCGCTCTCATGGATCGAGTATAGATGAAGCACCAAGGCAAAGTTGGCGTTAACCACAAGGTGCACATTTCTTCTCGCTTCTCAGATGCGCAAGCGCTGTGCATGTCTGGGAAGTGTTCACGCAAGCGCTAGGTACGTCAGACAGCACGACGTGTGTGCTGCGCCAGAGTCCTGAGGGACCATGACTGGGCTGTGCTTAGCGCTCCTATAGCAATGCCTTTTGGATCGTGACTTACAAATGTTTGTGTCACTGTAGCTGCGTTACTAAATCTTTAAAAGTGACCCTCCAGCAGGCCAACGTACCTAATTTTATTCTTATTAACCTCCATCATGACGTCACTGTTTTGGGTGCAGGTGGCGAGCAAGAAAGGCCGTCTGCTCGGCCGCATCGTGAGCGCAAACGGCGTGTTGCTGTACCGTTTCCTCGGCGTCCCGTTCGCTCAGAGCACGTCGGGCGTTCGGCGCTTCTTGGTGCCGCTTCCCATGGGCGCTCATCAAGACCCTTGCAAGGTGCGGGAGTGTCTTGAGCCACGGCCGCCGTGCTCCCAGTGGCACAATGGCAGCGTGCTCGGCTCCGAGGACTGTCTGCACGTGAACGTGTGGATGCCCGCATCCGCAAGTAACGACAGTGGTCGACGCAGAGCCGTGGTGGTGGCTGTTTCGGGAAGCTGGTTCGAGACAGGCTCCAACGACCATCCCGACTGGCCAATGCTGGCCGCGAAGGGTGGGTGCGAGTGTCATTCGCAGCACGCGTGTCACAAGGTTGCAACGTACAAACATAAGCTGTAAGGCCAACAGGAAGCGACTTTTCTTTGTTCTAGTCTAACCCCGCTTGAGGTCGAAACTCCCATTTCGGCCTCGAAAGAGAAAGTAACAGTGGTAGTGGTTTTTGGTCTGATGTCGTGATACTGTCCCAGTGGTTTGAGTTTGCCGGCTTCTGGTCTGCGTTACGTATATGACGGCAGTCTATATCCCATACCTAATACGATGTAGCTTACCAGTGAGGGGACAGAGTAGTTTAAAGTGATACTGAACGAAATTTCGGCCGCCTTCACTTTCAGCCAAATTGAAAAATTAGGCCCTAAAATCGATAAAGACTACCTTCATTCCAGGCAAAAACTACGAGAAGATAATAAAATAAATTTGTTTTTTCCAAATTGCCACGTCTGGCGGCCACGCCGTCAACTATAGAAAGTGACATTTGGTTACGTCACACACAGAGCCGAAACGGGCAAGTCTACAATGCCAGCCGTCGCCCGCGTCTCTCGACCCGCTCAACTCGCACTGAGGTTCCCAAAGGCCGTTCATAAGGCCCAAAACAGCAACAGCAGTGAACGATGCTTTCGGCTGGGGCAAAGAACCAGCGCATTTGTGGAAAGAGTGGCATGAAAGGAGAGGTGGAGAAAAGCAAGAGGAGTACAAAAACACGTGCATCCTGCATGCTGCTCGGTGACTGTGACGTCACGACTCGCGCTTGCGAGCAGCCGGCGCGGGCTGACAATCCTACAAAAATACGATCAACTGTTCGAAAATACGGGAAAATAACTCCCTTTATCAGAACACTGGCATGTTTCGACTCACATTCAGAAGTTTCGTCACTGATTGATTTGTGGGGTTTGACGTCCCAAAACCATGATATGATTATGAGAGACGCCGTTGTGGAGGGCTTCGGAGACTTCGACCACCCGGGGTTCTTTAACGTGCACCCTAATCTGAGCACACGGGCCTACAACATTTGCGCCTCCATCGGAACGGATTTTCGTCGGTTTTTCCCATTTTCGCCTCGTATCCCTGTAATCTCGAGCAAGAAATAGTGCCAAGAGCAGACGAACGAGTCCCGCGTGTCGCGTCTCTTCGCCGTGTTCACAACGTCGCACTTCCCGAATAGCTCGCGTGGTGCTCCATGCGTGCAGGAGACGTGGTCGTGATGGCGCCCAACCATCGGCACGGCATGCTGGGTTTCCTGCACCCGCCTCCGGTGCCCGGCATGGTTCAAGACCCCGCCGTTGACGACGTCGTTGCTGCCGTACTGTGGGCGCGCGACAATGCCGATACCTTCGGCGCCGATCCGAAGCAGCTGGTGCTCGTAGGACGCGGGTCGGGTGCCTACCTGCTGTCCATGGCTTCCAATAGCTTGCCTAACGACACGGCGTCGCGGGCATTCTACCATGGCATTGTCTACGGATCACTGCTCCCACTCGATCCGGTATCTCGCGCATCGCCCATGCAATACCGCCTTTCTAACAGCAATGCATACTGTGGCAATCTGTAAAATTGAATCTATTTTTTTTTGCATATTTCGCTGTGAAGTTTCAAGGATTGTTGAATACTTACTATATTTTAGTAAATATATGAGCTTTTGAACCAAAGGTGACGCAAGATGTATGCATAATGGTGACCTCGAAAGACCTCAAAACTGAGAAAAAGTGTGGCAGCTAAAGAAAAAACTGTAAGGTTACCAATTGTATACTAAAACACATTGTATGTGTTGAGAAGAAGTTAAACGTCGCTGTAAAACCCAGGGAAGGCTCAATGCTCGTGGTGTCTGTTCGCCAGTCTCAATACCTTCCCATTGGCTTGTTGGTGAGCCATATTATCTACCAGCTCGATTTTGAATGTGTTCAATAGCAAGATATTTCTCGCGTCGAGCTTCGCTCTAACCCGTTCGCTCCTTTAATATTCACACCAATTATTAGTGGTCCATCTTTCTAGCCCATTTTATTTCTTGCACAGTGTTTTACTGAGTAAGATGTAGCGCCATCCGCCGAGATACTTTACGCATGGGTTTAAGTGCGCCGCCATCGCCTAATTTACACGACGCGCTTCTTCCCAAAGCTTCGAGAAGATGTCAGCGTTGCTCATCGCTGCCGGTCGAATCAAACGCGTCATGTGTTGAAGCATGATTAACGTGTCTTTCTTAAGTGGATCATGAACCACCCCTCTAAATCCTGTTGAAATAACTCATCCTGCTGACACTGCAATGCAAAGCTCAGCCACATCTCGAAGTCTTGTGCGGCAAAGAAAGTTCAGACGCAACGCGCCAAGTTGCAGTTTCCTCAAGCTCCCACGTTTCATACAAACACCTGTGTCACTGCCGCTAGATGAAGTGCCCGTGCTTACTCCCTTTGGAGCTGCCGGTGCCACTCATTGACGTCGAATAACTGATAGCGGCCCATTGGCCAACAGCCGACGTAAAGAAATAGCGCCGTTTGAATAAGACACCTGGAGGATTAATCCTCTCTATACGTAAAACCAATACGGAGTTGTTCCTTGTTGCTTTTGTCCTAATTAAGCGAAAAAATCTATACGCAAAGACAGTGCGTCGTTAAATGTCACTATAATGCCAATTGATTATTGCTGTAGCGAGCAACAAGGAATTTTTTTCGGGTTGAATGAGAGCTATCCGCCAACCAAATCAAGGCAATTTTGCCAGCAAGACACACATCTTCGTCTCCTGTACTTTCCTTGGCTTGACTATTTTTTAGTTATCACAAAGATTGCGTTTAAGAAAAAAACGAGCCCTTAAATTTCCCCTTCTTTCATATAGGCTTGGATATTGCATAAGGACATCCGCTAGGCGCATACCTCGGGCGCCCTTAGACTTGTCGGTAGCGCAAGGCTGTAGGTGTGCTAGGCAAAACAGAAAATTGAAGACAAGCAAAAACAGACCAAATTCGATTGTGTTCTCAGAACAGGAGGCCTAGTTTAGTGAAGTTAAGAAAAGCAGGCACAGTTATATGTGTACAACCTGCAATTTTTGCCGCATAATTGAAAGGAAAGTTTCATATTACTTTACTTTAGTGCTAATACCCTCAGGACTAAATGTAATTGAAGAGGGTGGTGGTTGCAATAAATGAAGTGTAAAGAACAAAAAAGTTCAGTTATTGCGATAAAATGATGTCCCTCCAAATTATACTAAATAGTGTGATTAATACAAGAGAGAAAGGAAGTAAGCATGCTACCGCTACAAGAAAGTAACAAATCATTTTCCTGTTCGTACAACGTTAGCCAATGTTTCGCGGAAACGCTTGCATGTTAGTGATGGTTGCGTTCACACTGTAAGCGTGCTCACAAGTCTACAAACGTTCCACGTACAAACGCAGGCAGACAGGAAAGAGCCGTATCATAGCCTGGCGTCGGCTCTGCAATGCAACGTAACCGCGGACGAAGGGGCGAATGCGTCGACGTGGCTGCCTTGCTTCCGCGCCGCGTCTGCCGACGACATGGTGCGCGCGGCGCGGGAATTTTCCGATTTCCCGCTGCGATTCGCACCCCGCGTAGACATCAGCTCACTGCAGGCGACCCCTGCCGGCCGCACGCACACAGTCATCGCGGGATCCGACACGGCCGAAGCCCGGGATCTCTTCATGCAGCGAATTTTACCACTCGCAAAGGTACCGCATGTGATTGTAAAGAGGGGCACGCCAAGGTCTTGAGAACCTTAGTGCGTGCTGTTAGAAGGAAATCATGACAGAATGGACCACCTAACGAAGATTCATAAAGTTTAGGAGTATAGCGCGAGATCCTGCAAAACACACACACACACACACACACACACACACACACACACACACACACACACACACACACACACACACACACACACACACACACACACACACACACACACACAACAACAACAACACACACACACACTACTTTTGAAAAATCAGACATACATGGGCTTGTTTCATGGAAGGTCTTGAGTTCCTGGTGGCATATGTTTGTGGCACTAATTTATTCCGATAACAAAATAATTTGCGCAATTTATTCGGGCTGAAACGTGACAACTGCCTGGCACTTAGAAATTGCAGTGTGCTGTTACGTTCCTCACGACTCGCTTACTAATCAAGTAATTTTTTTTCAGCAGACATTAGGTGGATATTTCATAGAATTGATTGCCCGTGGTTTAAGCGCATTAACGTGGTCAGTAGTTAACGGATGCCACCTGAAAGCCCACTTCTTTGCAATAAGACACTCGAGAGTTTTGTTCTGGCAGACGATGCCTTCAGGTATTATGCGACAGATTATTGGTGAGCGACCGAACGGTAAAAAATAAAAAAACAACTTGCGTTGGGACGTCAGCAGCCTGAAAAAAAATCACAGCTTGTCCACGGAGTGAAAGATAAGTGGGGCAAAGCGTCCGTGCTGCCGCCCGTCCGTTCGTTCTTGTTTCCGTCCATCCGCGCGACCATTCGTGCGTCAATCCATGCGTCCGTCCGTGAGTCCGTCCACACGTCTGTCCGTCTGTTCGTGCGTCCATCCGTCTGTACATCCACGCTTCCATTCATTCGTCCGTCCGTCTGCTAGTCTGTCTGTCCGTCCGTCCCTGCGTCCGTCCGTGTATTAATCTAGTAAACAATCCAAGTACCGCTATCTCCCATCTCGCAACCTCTGTGGCACGTACCCGCTTTAGAGACCTCGCAAGCCGTCTCGTGGGCAACGCACTTCATGAGGTTGTGTTGACAAAATTCACGTCGTATGAGAATCTGAGATGTCGTACACGGTATGTTCCCCAATGAAGCGCTTAGCATGAATTGTGAACGCATTAGAGCACCATATGCAGTGTGCTATGGGGAGCTATAAGCTGTCCCGGTATAAACTCAATGATAACCGAAAAATTGTGTGTTTAGGAAGAGTAGTTATCGATTTAGAGTACAGGGAACTTTACTATGGGAGCACATAAAGCCATCCGGTGACACTGTAAGGTATGTGAAGTTCTTGCGCAGCAAATGCGAAAGCTCAGCACTGCTTCGCGTCTCCGGAGATAACTGTACTACTTCTCCTAATCTACCTATATAAGAACCTTGTCCGATGCACAAGCAGCCTGTTCAACTTTTATGGAGATATTTCTTGAATGCACTAAATAAAACCTAATTTTCAACTCAGCAACACAGATAGTCCTTGAGTGACTGGTCCTTCTAATCCTAATATAATAAACTAACTGCTGTATTGATACTTTACTAACACAATTAGACAATGATACAATGCTACAGAGTTTGTAAATAGTGGGTGGCTCGGCTAAATGTGGTTACCGGGAGGAAAGAAAAAAATGGCAGAAAATCCACGGAGTGAATGATGGAGAGTGGGGCGAAGCATTCGTCCATCCATTCGTTCATGCTTCCGTCCGTCCATGCGTCCGTCTGTGTGACCGTCCATGCGTCCATCCGCCCGTCCGTGCGTGCGTCTGTTCGTGCGTCCGTCCCTGCGTTCGTCCATGCATCCTCCCCTGCGTCCGTTCATGCGTTCATCCATGCATCTGTCTGTGTGTCCGTTCGGCAATCTATTCAACACTCCAAGTACCACCATCTCGCATCTTTTCAGCATATATTCCCCATATAGAAGCACTGCCATCCAGCGGACATTCCAAGGACTAAACTAGAGGTGGCACACGCATACTTTCTTACGGCTTGCGCTTCGGATCTACTTCCCACCTTTAACCACCTCGAGTTCATGGTATATACTAGTTCACTGTATTCATGGCACTGCGGCCCAACGCTTGCTAAACCTTTCTAAAACCAAGGAGGTTACGCCCAGAGAGTATAACGTAGCAACCTTTTTCAGTCAGATAGTGCTAAATGTACATGCCAATGGCTGCTAATGGAAATGAGAGACAGCAGGATTCGGCTTTTACTTACTTACGGCTTGCGCTTCGTATCTACTTCCCACCTTTAACCACCTCAAGTTCACAGTATATGCTACTTCATTGTATTCATGGCACTGCGGCTCAACACTCGCTAAACCTTAAAACTAAGGAGGTTACAACCAGCGAGTGTAACGTAGCAGCCCTTTTTTGTTCAGATAGTGGTCAATGTACATGCCGATGGCTGCTAATGGGGAATGAGAGACAGGAGCATTCGGCTTTTACTGAACGCGCACGCCACGAACTTTTTTATTGTTCAACAAAGCACAGGAGAAATCTCTCACCGACATCACCTTGCAGGTCAACATGTAACACTTGATACACACTACAACTACGACTACGAAATACGAACGGGTGCCACTTTAAGCAGCTTCGCCCCTAGAATTGCCAGATCCCACGTACAGTGGGAATCGATGATATGCAAAGCACGAAGAAGAAATTTCGATACTTCACTTTGAAATCAGCACAACGTTGCGAGGTAGAAATTAATGCCGTAGATGACTTCCGTTTCATGATTATGATGTTCAGATGTGTCGTTTACCTTCGTCATCTAATCACGCCACGTGATAAAAAGTTTAGTATATGTGGAGCTAGCGAAACGGTCGCGAGCACGCTATTAGAGTGGTATGTTTCATGCATGTTTCCACCAGTCATATACTTTTGTCATCCATTGACGTCAACACGAAATTTGGTATGCGTCGAGCTAGCGAAATGTCCGCGAACCCATCATGGAGGGTCCACTATACTCCAATGTAGCGTTGACTCACGCGCACGCTGGGCACAGCGACGCTACGTTAGCAAAAAGCGAGCACTCTATATTCAGACGCCAGGTGCGACCGGCGCGATCAGCTCCTGTCGGCGCAGCCCGATGGCAACCGGCGTGAAATTCGCGCCGATGCGTTACTCAGACAGCACTGCGTCTCCCTCTTTTCTTGACGGATGATGATGATGAAAAACATTTATTATAAAAGAGAGAGGTACGGCGCCAAAGCATGACCCTGCTACATGGTCGGCGTCCTTAGTCCGGGACACTGCATGACGAGGCCCCTACTCGCGCCCGTCTCACCAGAGCCCGTTGAGACTCTAGTGATGAGCTGTCGAGGAGGGCAGTCTCCCATGCCTCTCGGGAAGGGGTAGGGGAAGGGGGTAGGTGGGGATTTTTCGGACATGCCCATACCATGTGGAAGATATCACACGTCTCCCCACAGTGTGGGCACCGCCCATCTGTGTTCGCATCGAAATGCTTTAGGATTGCAGGACAGAGTAGAGTACCTGTCTGCAGGCGCCTTAGAGTTCGCTCTTCCGCCTTACTCAGCCCCTTTGCAGGAGCCGGGTAAAGGCGGTGAGTGTCACGATAATAGGTGAGAATTTCTTTGAACCGCAGCAGCGGTGTATTGGCCTCCGAGTCATAAGAGCCAAGGTGGGGAGCCCGGTGGGTAAGCGCTCGGGCGGCCGCGTCAGCGGCCTCATTACCTCGTAGGCCCTGATGGCCAGGAGCCCATACGATGCGTTTCGGGGCTGGATCAGTGAGAGCCCGTTTTAGAATTCTTGACGGAGGGACGCCAGACGCGCTGGAACGCACATGCATCAAAGCAACGCAGGGCGGCGCACTCCTACGAGTATATGGCGAAACCGGCGCCTGGCGTCGCAACGCCGGCGTGACGCGACGAAGTGAACGCCGGCGAGCACGAGCACCACCTCACGTCAAAATGTATTGGCACCTTGACTGTGGCATGTAGTCCTGTTCTCACATGACACGCATCTCATGAATATCATGTTTGCATCAGTCACATACCTTTGTCAACCATTGGCGTCACGTCATACAAAATTCGGCATATGTGAAGATAGTGAAAGGCCCGCGAGCGCATCATGAGTGTGACATGTAGTCATGTTGTTACATGACACGCATGTCATAATTATGATGTTTGGATTTACCTATGTCATCCATTTGCGTCACATTATACCAAGTCTGTACATGTGAAGCTAGCGAAACGGCTGCGAGCGCATCAGGAGCGTAGCATGTAGTCATGTTGTTACGTGACACGCATCTCAGGTTTATCATGTTTGCACCAGTATCATGCCTTCGTCATCCATTCACGTCCCACAATACCAAATTTGGTATATGTGAAGCTAACTAAACGGCCATCAGCGCATCATGAGCGTGGCATGTAGTCATGTTGTTACATGACACGCATGTCATGATTTTCATGCTAGGGTCTGTCGCTTGTGTTTTCCATGTAGTCATGTGATACCATACCAATTCGGCAACATGCCATGTGAACGAAACCACCGCAAGAGCTGCAGGACCATGAAATGTAAATCATGAAGTTCATGACATACATATAATGCTTTTCATGTCATGACTAGTTAAGTATGTTCTTCATACAGTAATGTTTTGCCATACCAAGTTTGGTATCGATACCATTTTTGAAACGGCTAGGAGAGCTAAAAGTCGTTAGGCGGCTAGATAGATAGATACGCTCAAAGTCGCCGAAGTTCGGCAAGAACTCCTTCGCGTTTACCAACGGAAGGAGAGAATTTGGCTCTCGTCGGAGTGAGTAGACGCGCGTCGTGTCGGTTCCGGTTTCAACGAATGTTTTTCAGTGGAAGTCACCTAGAAGCCTACAAGACTTTTGTACCCGCGTAGTCAGCTTGTCATCCGGAATCGCCCGGCACCAAGTTCCAGGTGGGGACTTGAATTTTGACACCTTTACCGACGCATTTTTGTCAACCACGCTGGCGAGAGAGATAGGCCTAACGCCTGCCAAGCCAACGGCAGCGCAGCTGCCAGAGACGCTGCTGCCTAGGTCGGCCAGGCACTTTTTGCCGGAAATCAATGGCACCTGCTCGACCTGTCATGTGCTCGCCGACACATATCACGTCGTAGCATCGTGCCCAGTTAATCCCGTCCCTTTCTCATCCCCTTTTCCTATCCCAACTAGAGAGGCTTGGGAGGAGCACCTGCTCGGCTGCTCTACCTTGGCTGCACAACGCTCCTTGGTGGAGCGCGCACGGGCAGCTTCCAGCTCCACTGGCGTCCCGGAATAGGGTCTTGCCACTCTAGCACGCCGATGGGCCACGTCGGCACTCTCTAGTAAAATTTTTCTGAAATAAATGTTTTTTACCACCACCACCACCACCTAGGCCGGCCTATAACTCTGCGGGCACCAAGAAACGCCGGGCGGCGCGTTTGACGCGTCTGACTTTCTGAGAAGAAATGGAGGTCACTGTGGAGGGAGAACCCATTTCCCGTGAAGAATTCAAAGAAAGTACAGGTTGGAGCACCGTGGGATCAAAGAAGTCGACCCGCGGGCAATCACTAGAACCCGGTGCGGATTCTCAACGAAGGAATAACAGCAGAAAACGGCGTGAGCAATGCCTGAGTCAAATAACAAGATTAAGCCGGATGCCTCCACTGCCCCGAGGTGACTACAAGATCATCATCCGACCTAGAGGCGGCCTTCGACTCACCGATCATGGAGCCGCCCGACTGGCGACTAGCCTTTACCTCGCCCAAGATGAGGACACAATATGTCCAAATTTCCAGCAAAACATCATCGTTGTGAGCACACCCATCGAGGCGCATGCTGATAGATACCAGAAAATCTCTCGCATTATGGTCGGCCGCATTATGGACGATACCAGCGCATATGAAGCAGCACCAGACGGTACGTCAAAAGGCGTGATACGTGATATCCCGTTGGAAGATACTGCCCGAGATATTACAGCTAATGTGATTCCAACAAAGAACCCTACAGCCATCGCTGCAAAACGCCTCAGCAACACAACGACGGTGATCGTACTGTTCGCTGGTCTTCGCGTGCCAACATACGTTCGATACGGTGAGGCAATGTTGAAGTGCTCCCTTTACCGCAAACAGATAGAGACGTGTTACCAATGCGGTCGCCTGGGGCACCGCGCAGATGTATGCCCAAACCCGAAAGACCACGTGTGCCATGGCTGTGGTACGACCAACCCCCCGCAAGATCACCAATGCCAGCCCACTTGTCAACTATGCGGCGGCGACCACCAGACGACCGACAAGGCGTGCAGAGCACGTTACAAGACGCCGTACCTGGTGAAACGCCGGTGATGGGAGCGACAACAACAATATGAAGTCTACCCGACGAAGCCAACGCCTTTCGACAACAGCCTCGAGCAGCGGGACACTACCCCTACCCGGAAGCCCGGAAAGAAAGCCTGGTCGAGATCTCAGTCACGGTCTCGATCGCGGTCTCGCCCCCGGCCCCGCTCCCAGCCCCGCTCCCGGCCCCGCTCCCGGCGCCACTCCCGGTCGCAGTCAACATCTCGGAGCCGTACACCTGGACCTGGCGCAACCTTCAAGGTGGGCTGGGTAGACGTAGTCAACGGGGCGCGCTTGGGGTCTGAGGAGGCCCCTTCTCAAGGCAAACTTGATAAATTAGAGGCTGAAATAGCACAGCTAAAGCAGATGCTAGCACAATGTAACCAGAAAATGACAGCTTTAGGAGAGGAAAACAGGACACTCAAGGAGGAGTTACACCACTATAAAAAAACAAAACATGATCCGCCAGCAGTACCACCGCTATCAGCTGTTGCACCCAGTGAAAAAATGGAGGAAGGTACAACACCACCACCTCCCAAGCGCAGAGCCGAAACCCAGGCCAATGAAGGTAAACCCGCACACGTGACGCCCGAGAATAAAGTCCTGAAGGAAGTTCAGCAATCAGTCAAAGAATTAAATGAGTGGATGAGCAACGCATCCCGACTGATCTCAGCCCTTACTGACCGAGTAGAGACTATAGATAAAATTACCCAGCAACAAAACGAACACCTACAACAGCGACTCATCGCTGTGGAGGCTAGAATCACCCCTCTGCCACCTAGTGGACTGGATCCCACAGCGAATGTCAAGCAACCTTCCTTCACGGTATTCAGTGTGATACAGCCGGTGACATTTCTACCCCCTGCGTCTCATCATAGCTAGAAATCACGCCTACACAATTTGGCAATGGATGTCATGAATGTCATGATTTACAATTCAAGGTCCTGCAGCTTTTGCGGTGGTTTTGTTCACTCAGAAAGGTGCAAAACTGGTATGGTATTACATGATTGCATGGTGAACACAAGCGACAGACTCTAACATTAAAATTATAACATGCGTGTCATGTAACAACATAACTACGTTCCACGCTCATGATGTGCTCACGGCCGTGTCGCTACCGTCACATATACTAAATTCGGTACTACGGTACATCAATAGATTAAGAAGGTATGTAAATGGTGCAAACTTATAATCATGAGATGCGTGTCATGTAATAACGTGACTACATGCGACGCTGATGATGCACTAGCTGCCGTTTCGCTAACTTCACCTACACCAAATTTCGTATTACGAGACGTGAATGGATGATAAAGGTATGATACTGGTGCAAACATGATAAACACGAGATGACTTTCATGTACCAACATTACTACATGCCACGCTCGTGATGCACGAGCGGCCGTTTCGCTAGCTTCACACGTACCAAGCTCGGTATTACGCGACGCCAATTAATGACGAAGGTATGTGACAGTTGCAAACACGATAATCATGATGTGCGTGCCATGTGAGAACATCACTACATGCCACAGTCAAGGCGGCAATAAATTTCGCCGTGATGCGGAGCGCGTGCTCGCCTTCGTTCATTTCGTCGCGTCACGCTGTCGTTGCCACGCCAGGCGCTGGTCCTGCCATATACTCGCAGCTAGGTGCCGCACTGCGTTGCATTGACGCATGCGCGTTTCAGCGCGTCCGGCGTCCTTCCATCGGGAAAAGAGGGAGATGCAGTGTTGTCTGGGTAACGCATCGGCGCGAAATGCAGCATGCAGCATTTCGCGCTGGCGCTCGCGTTTTGCTAACGTGCTCGCGTTTGCTAACGCAGTGTCGCTGGGCCTAGCGTGCGTGCGCGCCAACGCTACATTAGAGTATTTTGGGGCTTTCACGATGCGCTCGCGGCCGTTTTGCTAGCTCCACACATACCAAATTTGGTGTTACGTGACGTCAATGAATGACGAAGTTAAACGACACTGCCAAACATCATGACACGAAAGTCATGTACAGCATCATTCACTTCCACCTCGTAACGTTGCGCTTATCTTAAAGGAACATATCAACATTTCTCATTCGTGCTTCGCATATCATCAATTCCCACTGTACGTTGGATCTGCCAATTTTTTAAAATATTCTTGGATGCGAAGCAGCGGGTGCTCACGCTTATGTTAAATTCCAACGGCAGATCCAGATCAAGTTTTTCTGCTCTGAGCGGAGCAATCACATTCCAATGGCGGATTGGTAGCGTGAATTGTGTGGTCCAATGGCAGATTGAGAGCCAATCGCAGATCGCGGATTGCTCTGTGGAGCAGGAATTCTCACTTCATTGAAATCGGCAGATTTGACCGGAAGTTCAAGTGACTTATTCTGTGCGCGCGCTTTTCATCCAATCACCGATGGTTGTCCGGAAAACGCTTTGCACCTTCTCGCACCCTCTCCTGCTCCCTCGCTTGATTTCCACTAACCAAGAGCTCCCGTCAAAACGCGCGCGTTCCAATCGTAGATTTGGTGAGAGCAATTCCGCTCGAATCCGCGCGCTCCATTCGCAATGCGGCCCTGCATTCATGATCTGTCATTGTAATTCAACATTAGCGTCCACCTTGCTCCCTCTCTTCGGGGCAAAGTACGCGTGGTAGATGAGAGCGCGCACCGCCGCGTCGCGACGATGTGGCAACGTGCGCTCTTTGCGCCATCTTTCTGGTAATGTAGAAAACACGATAGTTCCTTCCCCCTCCCGCCGAGATGCAAGTCACCAGTGGTAAGTGGTAGATATAAATACCTTGCCGTTTGAGCATTGAAGGAGGTGCTCCTTCCTGGCTCCAATAAAGAAAAAAAGTGCTCCTTTCTGGCGCAGTGGCCAACGCCTCGCTCTAACAATTCAGAAATCCATCATTGGATTCCGCGTGCTAGAGTCTTTTTCTGAATTTTTTTCTTTCTTGCGTGTTCATATACATGTATACGTATACATATATGGTGAGTGACGCTGACGCCAGCGGCAAAATCCAGCCGAACGTGCGTGTATAATTGCTATCGCAATAAAAGCGTTCCACGCTCACCGTCATGGCGGCGATCAATGATAACACTCTCAAATTTAAATACACACATCTACCCAGTGAACAAGACGGGGAAATGACTGCCACTGTAGCCGAAATGGTAAAGCATCACTCCCGAAATTCGAAGCGTGCAGGTTAGGTTGCTGCTGTAGGCAAGTTAAATTTCCGTTCATTTTGCATTCTTGACATTTATATATAATTACTGCAAATGCCATACTCTGTGAATTCCTTGATATTGTTGTCTGCTAGCTATCAATAATGTTGTGTTGAACAAAAAGAATGAGCCCTCAAAACCCCTTTTAGTACTTGTCAGTGCTTCTTACTGAAACAACAACGTGCATTGTTCTTCTTGTAGTGTCTCATGAAATGGATACAGCAGTAACACTTTTTTTCTATCTTCCTTTCGTAACGCGTAGCGCCATGGCAACGCTTCAACAACGGAGGCGCTTGTAGACTACACGCTGAACGTGTTCAACATACCCTCCTTTGTGAAGTCCTTCCTCCGGGGGCGACTCAACGTCAACAGCGTGGAAGATTTGGCGCGCAAATTTCCGCTGGTTGTCTCCACGTGTGCGACACTTCGAGTTGCCACAGCCGCCGTCGAGGGCTACCACTACCTCATCGATTCGAACGTCTCCAGCGGGTCTTTACAGCCACCGTTGGGTATCCAGCAGGTGGCTCAGTTTGCGAGCAACGGGTAAGTTTGAGTGAAGCGATTCTCGCTCGTTTGAAAACCCGGAGCACGTGCACGCGAAGCGTGTGTAGCCAGCGTTGTCCGACGGCTTTTGAAGCATAGGCCTGAATTTCGGGTGCACCGGCAGTGTAATGAGCGTGTGCCGTTGTCACCTCTTCCCTCTTTTAATTACAGGGACTCACAACGTTCGGTGCCGGCTCACAAGAAGCGATCAACCGTTTCAACATCGTTCAGATATTGCACACACCGCTAATGTTTCAGAGCGTCGCTTCGTGGTACTCTCGTTTCCTACATAAGGACCCTCCCACCATACTGACTAGAGCAGAATACGCACACTTAACGCACATTGTCCTTTTCCTCACTCTTCCTCTATTTCCAACTACGGCACACTAACCTCAATCTCACTATTTTTATGGTGAGCTCGAAGATGCGTGCACCGCATACACGCTGACTAAATGTACATGTAATTTGCGTTAAATGCGACGTGCTCTTCATTTTCAAAAACCATGCTTCCCACTTGCCTCCTCTCTCCGGTCATAGTCTCCTATATTTTTCTTGCCTGCCGGATGAGCGCTAAACGCCCGTCATCTATGGCGGCGCCACCTGCGTAGGGTACTTAGCCTTTAAGAGCAGCAACTTTGGCATTTGCTAATTTCAGAGGCTATGCCTTGTATTGAAAGGGTTGCCTGCTGAATGAGCGCAAAACGCCCGTCATTTATGGCACCGTCAGTTACGTGGGGTTAATTATAATTAATTTTAATTACGTTTACGCCTTTTTAAAACTTTTACGTTCTTTTTGTTGCATATTGGCTCTAGAAACGTAAAAACTTTTTTGAAGACAACCCTACTTAAGTGGCGCCCCCACCGCAGTTCCGACGACGGCCGTTTCTCAAGTGACCGCCGATAATCCGGCAGACCCAGGGGAAATCTAGGAGGCTGTGCTCCGGTAGGCCTTTATGACGGCGAAGACGGTGGACGAGTTTTCGAGTTTCCCCTCCACGTCAGCCGCGATCGTCGGTTGCCCTCACTCGCTTTCCATCACCTATAGAAGGCACGATGCCCGAGAGCCAATCTTGACAATTTGGACTTTATACGAGACATGACGTCATCGCAAGGTTCTGTATGAAGTGCCTCGAGTGTCTGCATAGTTGTTATTGCAATAAAAGATCCCATCACCGCTACTTGGAATGGTAAGGGGGGGGGGGGGGGGTCGTCTTAAAGTGCCCGACATCCCCTCTGCCTTTGCGGATACGTGCCACAAACCATAACGCGGCCATCTTGAGTGATATGACATGAACACTGATAGTGGAATGTGCCTTTGCACCACTGATTATGACCTCTCTTTTCTGGCTGCGTCATTAAGCACTGTGCCTCCACTGCCCAACCAAAGTCCGTGGCCGCCTCTCAGCAAGCTCGGCAAGACGCGCTTCATCGACAAGGACGGCAAAGAGAACTTGACTAGTTTTGACGCCGATTGCAAATCTTAACATTTCTTTGAATTAAGAATATAGCTCATCAAAATCAAGTAGTTGCTCCTTAAAGCGAAAAGATTACTTTGTCGTGTGAATCTTACTGTTCTTATCAATATAAGATATTTATAAACATTCTTCACAGACTGTCCAAAAATAGTGCTGATCACAGTGTCGTCCAGTAATCAGGTTAACGTTTTAATGTAATATTTCTTCAACTTCATCTGTAATTCATGATGACGAAATAAACAAATCAAAATAAAAGAAATAAATTCATGTTGGAGAGGTGCTTTTTTCTTTCTCTTCTATTAAAGAGAAAGATGCGATGAGATCAGGGAGGTAGGCAGCTGCGGGTGGTAGTTTCATGACTGATTTCATTTTCGCATATCCAATAAATGGTAGCACTGGCTTTAAAATTGCCTGGTTTTAATTTTAGTAATTACGACAAGGCCACTGGGCTCGTTAGTTTAAATGGGAACACATACTTCGTTACGTAGGGACCTGTGGCATAGCCTGAAGGGTGCGTGATTTGGGGTGTTCCCCAACACTCTGAGACTCATTGCAGTTTGCACTGTAGATACGCGCAAGCACACAACAGATGCGAACAATCATCGCGTGATGACGTCATGATGTGACGTCGCGGTGAATGGTGAGCTGATCCTGGAGGCACGGAAAAACCAGGTGAGTTGCACAAGGCCTTCGAGTTGTCTCAGGTTAATGCGTAAGGTACTTCGTTAGCTTTTTATTTGAATGAGCACGGGATTTCCTACAGGAGCTCTTAGTGTAGGAATGCAAGTGGCTGCGTGTGACACATGATAGAACCTACCAGGGTTGTAGCCAAAAAGTTTTTTCCGTATGGGTGGTGGGAGGAGTGTGGGGATAGTCTGAACTTCATGAAACATCTTGATGAGACATCTTCATGAGGCGTCTAAAGCTTTCGTCTTTACAACTACTTTTGTATGCTCAAAAGTAATTTTTTATTAAGCGTGCGATTTGATAGACATGTTCTTGTTTGTAGGCAGGCATGTAGTTATGGATAACATGCACAGGTGTGGTTGGATATGAGCGGACACGGCCACTACAGTGCAGAAAACTGCATTAGCAATGCATGAGACGAAGCTGCGAAGGTAGAGTCCGTGTTTTGTCTGTTAATTGCGGAAAATTGATTGCAAAAGTGTTGAAAATTGGGATTGATTTTTGTTGGCCACAGCACATACAGCGCCAGGACGATGTACAGAGTGTGCAGCTATTTTTTCTCTCATTTTACTTGCAGTCATTGTGTACCGATAAATAACCGAAGCAATGCTTGCCGTATTTTTTGAAATTGCTAGATAAAATGCTACATTTAATATGTTATCTTTGGGCACATGCGTTAGGCAAAGCTTCCGGTTAATATTCATTGTAATAAACAGACAAAAAGGGGTGATAATTAAACAAGGACGTGATAAAAGAGCTTACAAATACAAGTATCTACGTGTCAGCTCACACCCAGTTTGTCGTGCCACCCGGACGCGCGAGCGAAAGAAACGGCGGAAGCGCTGTGTCATTACAACGGACGTATTTCTTTCATTTTACTAGAAAACGAGATTGCAGTACTATATGTCTCGGATGCTGTCACGTCACGGATGTTGACGTAAGTGCGTCACTTGCACATCACCGAATATACTTCGTCAAACGAAGCTTCGTCTTCACGAGGTAGCCATATATTGATTATAGACTCTGCCTAGGTGGCGCTGCCAAAAGAACCAATGGCAGCGCCTCATCGCCGTCTTGACGCTAACTGGGTAGTGCAAACAGAGCCGTCCGCAAATGAACGTGTGCAGACCACAATAGACCACGCTCTCTCGTGTGTGTCGAGATGTTGTTTCATAAAAATGAAGAACCTCGGACACATCTTCCGCCCATGTATGCTTCAGAAAAGCCAATTAATTTACACTGCAGGTACACTGAAAAATAAGTTTCAGTTCTCTATGCACGCTGTAACTCGCAAGTACAAGCGAGCATCGCATGACAGCAGGTTCGAGGCACGCCCTGGAACTCGTCTACTTCATGCAGCTCCCAAATATATACATGATGAGAAAGCGATGAAGTACATGCACGATCAAATTACTTAGCTCTATATCATATCATAAGTGGCACTAATTCGCCTTATCAATGACACGGCCATTATCGGCTTTCCACTTGTATTCTCCCTTCAGCTCTCGCTTCCTGTGCGTTGGGCTGTTTTATTGCACATCCTCGAAAGTTCCGTGTACGATTATGTTTTCTTTGTATATACTGCAATTAAAAATATGGCCGTATCCGCTATCGCGCGGTACAAGGGAAGGCAGAACAAGCCTGCATGTGGTGACGACAAACATTTTGCGATTTACTTGCTATGCACGTGTTAGAATTTTATTTTATTACTTTTTGTTTTATTTGTCAAATACTGTAGGCCTTTCGCAAGCCATTACAGGGAGTGAGTCAATAGGTATTCGCAGAGGAGTACATTGTACAATAAGTCAATCCAGACAGTGATGATAACAACGAAACCAGTTTCTAGTTTAATAGCGGAACATCGCGCCTTCCAAGGGTATGTGTGCGATGCTGTGTGGTGAATACTACAGATTAGGGGTAGTCATGCTGTGCGTGCTGTTCATCGTGCGTCTTTTGAGTCTGTATCTAGCTGCTCATTCCGCATTACACGGCACACACCACGGTCAGACACTCTGCTGAAGTTCATTGTCAATAATGGCGTGGTTCTCCGTCAGGGTTGCGCAAAAGAACCACAACACAGTCATATTATTATCTTACGTTATTTTGCAACATGCTGTGGAGAGTGCGAGAGATTCGCTTGCGCAAGAGCTTCAACCGCCCGCATTCAGCCATATCACGTTCCTGCTCTGCAGCAAAACTATGTAACTCGGTGAAATGGAACATTCCTATTTTGTTCTTTACTTCGATGGCTGTTCAGAGCGCGACAGTAGCGTAGACTGCAGCGTTGCTTCGTAGTGCGTTGAACTATTGCGTTTGCTTTATTATTCGTGGTTGTTGTGGTTAACGGCATTTCGACGGTCTGTTCTGCTGCAGTGAAGAAAAATTATTTTCGCTCTTTCACAGCATTAAATGCGCACAACACGCGCAATATTAGGCTAACTTGTTGCTTCGCGCACACTCGATCGCGTTGTCTCGCTCTTGGTTCCAAAGCAAACTCTGAATAGGAGTCGTACTTCGCACTGCTACATTCCTTGCTTCTCGTTTCGACAGGTGGCGCTACACGTGTTGCGGAACTCCTGAGTCTGACGTTTTCAACCAACCCACACGCATGCGTGCTAGCTTACTCAGTTCACGTATCGTTCGTCTTTTTCCCGAAAACTGGACTGAATGTAACGGTGTTGTTCAAACGTGGCAGTATCATGTTAACAGTAAAATAGTGAGCATCTGCACTTTTAGACAAGTAAATTCACACGTCTATACATTCTCGTCATGACGTGGATACATAGAACCATTAGAAACTGATGGCGTGACGTCCTATCATCTTTAGTTACGATTATTCTGT